GAGAGAGAGAGAGAGGAGGAGGAGGAGGGGGAGAGAGAGGAGGGAGAGCGGGAGACAATTCGAGCCGGAGGAAAGCCGCGCGTCGTCGTATCCGCCAACGAGGGAAAACACACAGACGATAACGCCGCGTGACTTCTCATTCGCTTCGCGCCAACGGTCCGCTATTTGATCTGCATGCCCGCCTGGCGCTTTTTGCGCCGCGCCGGCCAATAGTAAACGTCCGGCGACGCTTCTTTATCACCCCGCGAGGAACGGGCCCGGCGCGTTTCTCGCCGCGCGCGCGTGGTCCGAGCGTTTAAAACGCGGAACTAATTCGTCGCGAGAGGCGTCTGGCCGACGGAGCCGCGTCTTTTTCTCTCCATCCCCCGTTCTCCCCCTTTCCGCGGTTTTACGCCGCGCGAGAGTTACGTCGCGGCGCTACGTGGCGAATTCGTGGGCGTGGAGTAACGTTTTCCCGGCTCGATTTACTGTTAGTACACACGCGCGAAGCATATGTAGCCAATCTCGCGTCCGTTTCAAGTGCGAATTTATGATGCGACCGACGGAGGAGTTTGTATCCGCATACGCGCACTCCGCTCGGTTCGAAATGTCCTCGACCTCCTCGTCGAGTAATGAGCGACTCCGGCGTTCAGCGTCCATATTCGAAAAGTACGATCGCACGAAAACTTTATCAGGTAGTGCGCCGTTACCTCTTTCCTATCAAGTCCCCGAAGCCTTGTGTCCACGATCCAAGAGATGTGTAGCCAATCAACCTGCATCTTTTACGGAAAAGCTGCAAGTTGATCGTGGACACAAGGCTTTAGGGACCCTTTAATCAAAGCCTGGCCAACAGGCAGCTTTTGATTGGTTCTTCCACTTTTGGTAACTTCCGAAAAAAATAGAAAGAAAAGGAAAGAGAAAGAAAGAGATAGAAACTTTCTCCCTCTCGCAGAATTTTGCCAGAACCAGCCTGTCGGCCAGACTCTGATGATAAGGGCTCTATTTTTATCGCACCATCTGTCCTTTGTTGTGATTCTGTTGCGAAAAGTTTCAAAGTCTTTCAAATGAGCACTGTCAAGCGCAAAGAGAGGAGCCGAATAGGGGAGTCGAAAGGGAAGAGTAGCTGCGAATTGCCATTTGCCGTCAAGTCATCCTAAGCCGCTTCAAAGTCGGCGTGGGACCTAGGCAGAAATTAGAAAACGTCAACACCTTGGATTAGTCCGTGAATCATCAATACGCGTGGAATAATTCATTCGCGAGAGTTACCGGCGAACATTTCTCTCGCGTGACTCAACTGGACCGTTGCCGGATAAGAACAAACACATGACGAAATGTCGTTAGCTGTGACGTCAATTCGGCAAACGTGTTTCCCTCGCGGATTTCTCGATTCGTCAGAGATTTGCAATCGGCCCGTGCGTCTCGTAATCGCACTTGCGTCCATTGAGGAGATAGCGAGAGCGCGAAACGCTCGATCGGGTCGCTTAACATGTCTGACTCATAACCGCCATGCGTCGTCTCACCAACGACATTTTCATTAAAATACGAAGTGCGTTTATTAGGGGCCAGTTAGCGGCGAGTGAAGCGCGACGCTGTCGTGCGCGACGCCAATTTCACGTCTCGCGCCCGAAGAGGAGGACGAGGACGAGGGGGAGAACGAAGGGTTGAGGACGAAGGAAACGAGATAGGATGAGAGAAGCGTACGAGGCAGGTGAGGGGGGGGGGAGAAGAAATGCCGATGTATTGAATAGCTCCTCGCGGGCGCGAAGGAACCAGGCGTCGTTAGCTGACGGTTCTCTTTTCAAGCTGTCGAGCCACCATCGAGCCTAAACATTCCCCACTTTACCTCCCGTCCATTCGATCTAATAGGTACGCATTACCGCGCTTTATTGCCTCGTAATTTCCATTTCTGATGCCAGAAACCAATATAAGTCGCGGAGGATAGCGCGCACGCAGAAGAGCGGCGGCCTCCGCCGTGCAGCGAGCCTCGCGACTTACTTCGCCACAAAGTGGTTTACGATTGAGACGAAAAAGAACGAGTCGGAGTATTAATCGTATGACGAAGAGGCTCTTCTCCTCTTACTCGAAGGAGCGAGAGAGAGAGAGAGAGAGGGAGAACGAGCCTCCCCGTCTTCATCAAGGGAGAGAAAGGGGAAAGAAAAAAAGAAGAGAGAGAGAGAGAGAGAGAGAAGTCGAAGCATTATCATTTTTCTTGCAGCTTCTCGCACGTCCACGCGATCGCCAACGCAAACGCGAGCGCGAGCTCGATGGAGTCTATAACCTGTTCCGATGATTCCAGCCGGATGATCTCCACAACCGTTACCGTTCGTTCTGCCGAGCATAATTTACGTTCTACGCGCTGACTATCACACACGGGACACAGGCCATTAAAAGAGAGGCTGCGTCAGTACCAATTCAAATAACGTTAAAGATCGGGGGACATTTAAAAACCCGTCGAAGAGATATATGTTTGCGTATTTCCGTGCTCCTCTAATAGTCGTAGGGTTCCCACGTTATTTAACTCCTGAGAAAGGCACGCTTCCCAATCAATCTGGCAATTTTTCTTCGTTTTGCGACGTAAACCGTTTATCGAGTCGGAGCGCACGCGAGAAATGATAGTTTTTGCGGACACTCCGCTTTCCGGAATAATCCGTCGCGAGGAGCAATAACGTCGGGGATCCGACTGGTCGCAATTTCCTTGATGCAACCGGGCGCGATAATCGATCTGCATCAAACGGCCGATCGAAGGAAAACCCTCACCTGGATAGCCCTCCGGGATGACGATCTCCGGTCCCACCTTGACGTCATGCCGGTACCGGTGCATCAGCAGGCTCGCCGTGACTCTCAGCGATCGCTGTTGCTGTTTGTACAGGAGCACCGGTCTGCCGCCGGTACCCTCGAGTCTGACGACCCTTGGTAACGAGAACCGATCGAGGAACTCCCGTAGCGGCATGTAACCGCCGCTGGAACCGGAACCACCCTCGGCGGTGGCCTCCCTCGAGCTCGGCAGGGATTTGGGCAGCGAAGGCATTTCCTCGCTGGACATCGTCGAGAATTCACCGTTCGACGACATGATCTCACGCGTTTCGAAGCAGCGTCACCGCGCGATCCGTCCCGAGGGATGTCGAGGTGAACGCGCAGTTCGGACGAGCCCGGGATCGGGAAACGCGACGCGACGAGGCTGATTCGAACGAGACAGTTCCTCCTCAGGGTGACGCCGGGAAGCTCGAGGTCTCAGCGTCATTTAATCCCCGTGGCGGTCGAGCGAGCACGACGCTTGCTTTCGAAGGCATCTTCGCTCCCCCTTCGGCACCCGCTCATTACCGCTTAATAACGGGCTCGGATGCGCTGGCACTTTCTTCTTCAATTATGTCACTCCGCCGCAGCCGCTCGGCGAGCGTCACTTTCCGTCTCGCGGCACGATGATGGTGCGACGTTAACCCCCTCGGCGCCGAGTTACTTTCGACACTTTGCGGGCGTCAGGCGATCCCCGCGCGGAAGAGGGAGAGATCCAATTATGCATTCGTAGAACTGTGTGCGATCGCTACGTTTACATCTATCTCGAGCGATAAAATCGATTTCCCTCGTCGAACGGCGTAAAATTGATTCGCGGCGGATATTAAAGCCGGCTCGTTGATCTCCCGGCCCGTTACAAACAATACGTGAAACTCCGTTCACTAGCCACTAAACTGTTGCCTGGGGCAACAGCGCGCAGTGAGATCGAGGATCACAAAACACCGTCGACGGAGCACCGCGTCGAACGCACCGTTCGATCGCGAGTCAAGGCGATCGGTGTCGATCCGCTCGCGGGTTTGCCACTTGCCGCGTTACACTTTTCACACATGCGGCGGAACATCTCTCCCCGCGGTTGATCGGGGCGGTAGCGCGAACGCGTTACGGCAAAACTATCGCGATCTACCGATAATATCCCCCGATCGTTGCGAGAGCGAACGCATCTCTCTCCTTAGCGGGGCCGGCAGACTATTGCGATCTACCGGCGGTATATCCGTGACGATCACTCGCGGGCGAGGACTGTCTGTGCGCGCGAGGCGTATCCTTTTACGGGGAAGCTATCAGGGATCCATCGACGACGTCCACGACGCCGAGCGAGAAGCGGACGATGAAGACCGTCTCTCCGCGCGCGGCCGAGGCAACTCTTCCGGATGTCCTGCTCCCGATGATGAACGACGGACGGGCTCCTCTTCCGGGCTGTTTCGTTTTCGAGCGCCGCCGAGGCGTCCGAGGATAGATGGATCCTATGGACGCGCGCGATCGAACGATGAATCCCGCTCGGTTAACCGAGCCGCTCCGCTCCTCTCTCTTTCTTTCTCTCTATCTCCTGACGCGAAGGCAGTTATCTCCCGTGGGGTTCGATCCCCGTGGCGTTTATGATTTACCGGTGCAGTCGGCTTTCTTTCGCCGTTTCTTACACGAGCCTCGCGAGATATATCTCGTGGCGCGGGCGCTTTTATTGCTTTATGCCGAGCCGTGCGGGCCGCGGGGTGCCTTCAGACGCCTCGATAACTGGGTCTGAGCTGCATCCTGGTAGCCTACGAACAGGACCTACCGTATCCCGCGAGGAAAGGCGAAGGCCAGAGAAAGAGGTAGAGAGAAATCCCGCGGGGATATCCTTCAGACACCTTGTCGGCCGAGGTCGCGCTGCATCGCGGTGGTCTGAAAACAGACGGGCAGGCGATATGGTCAAAGTGTTCTCCATCGCGGCACTTGGCGAGGTCCGATCGCGGAAACGCGCGGCCCTGCGTATCTACGGAGTCGGCGCGCCCCTTCGGCGAACGTCATTACATCTATTTAATTGCAGAACCGATCGCTAATCGCGTCTCGAAACGACGGTGTAATTGTGATCCTGACACGACATGCAGTGAAGACGGCCGCGCGCGTCTGTCTCGCAATTTACGCAGGCACATTCGCAATTCCCGTAGCGCTCGTAAACAAAATTGATGAAATTGAGAAAAACATACGCGAGTTGAATCTTCCACTTTAGAAATTTATCATTGAGGGTCTTTCAATTTTGCGGAAAGTATAAAAAAAAAATCCGAGGGACGAACAGAGTGAGAAATACCCAAGAGAGATACGTTCAGCGCCGGTTCCCTAAAGGCGACGATCGAGTTCGCCCGACTTGTCTCCTAGGCCTACGGAGGAACGCGCGCACTTTTTGGAGAGGATCCGATCGGATCGGCGGACGCGAAGTCACTGACGCCCGGCTCGAACTGAGTGGAGTGTAAGAGGTCCACCGGCACCAAGAGCCGCACGCACACACTCGAGAGCGCGTCGTGTAGCCGTCGCTGGTACCGTGTGCCACCACCTCTACCCAGCCTGGCTGTCAGTGCCAGCAATACCGGCGGCCCGAGCCTCGCCCGCGGAGTCCTCCGCACGCCGGTTAACAGAATACGCGCGTCTCGTCCGACCTACGTGGACGTGGGTTTATTCAATATGGGTCCTATTGTTGCTCGCTGAGAGGAGCTGTTACCCCACAGGAGCGCGCGCGCACCGCCCTCGATACTCTCTTCCTGCCTAGGCGAGCCTGTAATAATCGCCCGTGGTAGCCGAGTCAGTCCCTGTGTATGCACAGCAACGACGAGGCACGAGGAGCTGACAATTGCGGCGTGCTGAGATTAAATGGCAGCTGATCAGATCGTGGGCCAGGATCAGAAGCTACCTCCCGAGTGCGCGCAGATCAATCTTAGGGAGGAAGGATCGAGGCGAGCTCGTGAGCGTCGTTGAGCTTCGTTAGATCGTCTCTCGGTTCAACTTCATACCCGGGCTCGACTTTAGCTCGAGCTTCTCCGCGTGCACATTTCGTGAAAGTTAATTTTACTTTCAACGACGTTCAACAATTTATTCTCTCCGCGGTCGTTGAACGACGCTCGTCGTGTTCGGGGACGCGGACCGCGTCCCGATCCCGACGGAGATGCATCCGACGCAAAAAATGACCCGCGCTTTCGTAAAAGACAAACCATCTGTGACTGAAATGTTACATGCGACTTCCTTATACGGTTATACTTAAATAAAACGAGCCCAGCGCAGTCCCTATATTTGGTAACACTCGCATGAAATTCAGCGAGGACGATATCGCGCGTGATAGCCCTCTTCCCGCGCGCACTTGGAATTTATCTCGCACCTCGATTCGCTCGCGCGTACGACATCGCGGATAAGATCGTAAAAATTACGAGCAAATCACCGTGGTTTCCGAGTGGGTGGAAAGTGGAACGACCTTGGCTTTAATTTTTGTCGAATGTACATTACCGATGTGAACGTCCGACGCGTTACATCATTACGGGTTTCTCTGCCGCGCATCGTATAATCCTTTTTATGGAAATCTCTCAGACTCTCACACATTAAGAATATTAAATATCGTAACATTCACTGGATGATCTTTAATCCTATTAGGCAAATTAGAGCGCGTGTATACAAATAAGGAAGGAACAGGAAGGAGTGAAAAAAACGTAGAGGTACATGAATCAATTTTTCACTTTTAACATATTAGCTGGTGACGCATCAACTTGCACTTTTATTGCCCGAATGTTAACCGCTGGCGAGTTATCGAGCGTTTAAAGAGTTTAGAGAGACGTGCAGTTTAACTCATGTAAGAGCCGATTGTCAGAACTTGAAATTGATAAAGTTTTCATTATTTTTGTAATTATTCTTCACTTTTTGTCGTGGTTTATTTATCTCTGATCTTCTATATATTGTAAATAAAATTTTCTTGTTCTCGTTAATTTCTGCATAAAACGCTCAATGTGTCGAGCCAACGGCACACGACACTAGTTTTCCTACTGGATTTCTTAAGAGAGCCAATCAGAATTTAGCCTTAAGTCACCGGGGGTTCATTCTGTATTTTACAATATAGTGAAAATGCTAAGCGAACGGTTTTGTCTCTTGTTAAAGGGACGGTTAGAAAGAGACAGAGCTACCCCACTTTTAGCATTTACCACTGATGCATATTACCACATGCATCAGTGGTCGAATTGGTGAAACGCCTAGAGTGTAGGGAAGTCCAGGTTCAAACCCTGGCTGATGAGGTGATATTTGTCCGAAACAAATTTTCTCTAATTAAAATTGTCAGTTGTGTCGGTTATCAATTGTCCTACCCTGTAAATTAATTTTGTAAATATCTTTTAATTTGCCCATTTCTAAGAAAGTCTGCGGTCTTCCGTTTCTCTTGCACGCTACGCTTAGCATTACGCCAAGCGGGAAATATCGGCACAGCAATTACACGAGAGCACGATCGTTTGCCGGTTGACAGACAGAGGAAATCGCCGATTCGCTACCGTTAAATTCGCGGACGGCGAGTCTTACGCAACGCGAATACGCAATGCCGATGCTCTCGTGTGATCTAACCGTCGTCGTGGCGATCCAATCGTCATTGTCCCCTTCAACGATTCTCATCATTTCGCCGCGGTTTGCGAAACGCTGCTGGATTTCGACCCGATCGTTAAGCAAGCGCGCGCGAATTTCCGCCTAAGCTCTGGGAAATATCGCGAATGGAGATTGTCGCCGCAATTTACGTTGTTATGCTCTGAAGGATGTAACGGTCCCGCGTACGATATTCGCAAAACACAACGAGAATCCGTATTACCACTCCGCGATAGCATCAAGCCCGACGGTGTGGGTTACGGTAATTTCTCACACGGCCGTGTTACGTGGATTAACAGCAAATAACTTGCTAATAGCGAGACACAAATGATAGTGCCGCGCCGCGCTATCGGATGAGAATTTCGCAAAAATTGCTGAATATCGCGCGAGCAGCCAAGCGTACAAGAGAATGCCATTCGAAGCTGCTAACAAGATCGAAGAAGCAGCGAGGGATCCTGAAAAAGTTGCACCACAAAGTGGTGCGTATCTCATTGCCATAACACGTCGCTGCAACCTGTGTTACGTTTTTTCGCGGCCTGCTCGACGAGTCCCTCTTTTTGGCGCGTCTTCAATGTTATTAATTGAATTACATTTCATTGCTCGTTCCGGCTCTCAATCGGAAATTACCTCGCGAAAATCTCGATTTGCCATTTCGAATAAATCGTCTCGGAAATCCGTTCCCACGAAGATAATTGCGCACTTAATTCAAGATTCACCTTGCCCGCTCCGTCCTTTCTACGACAACGCAAGAAAGACGTGGATATACGGATATTACAACTGTTATCAAAATGACAATATTATGACGATGACGGCTGAATGGAATTAGAAGCTGAATCAGATTTTAAACTAAGCAGTCGTTTGCTGACTCACTTCCACACTCGTTTCAATTTACTCCACTAACTCCTCAAGTCGTCAAGAAGCGGCTGCTCTTCCGCGCAATCATACTTCCTTGTATTACCTTGTGGTGCAGGTTTTTCTTTTTACCTTAATCTGACTCACCTTTCAATTCTCTATAATCCATCACTAACGTCTATTTTTACATTAACACGTCGGAGCGATGGTTCTCGGGCTTATCAAGATCTCCCCGATACGCCTTACTGCGTTTCTGTATCCTTTACGGCGATACCGAGAACATCCCTTTAACGAGACCGAAATTACGGCAACGAGAGCATTTCCTGGTCTCATCTGGAGCGATGTTACACCGCGAGGGGTAGCACGGCGCGATGCGGTGCGGTGTGGCGCGCGTATGCGAAACACGCCGGGCTTATTAACGCCATCGGTGCAGCGTACGCGGATCCGTTTAATTCTATATTTACTGCGGACGCGTTTAGTTAGAGCGGCATACGTAAGGTAGTAGTAGTAGTACGCGTACTGATCTGTGGAAAGGATCAGTCAAGGCGAGCCGGAGGGTCCATCGGCGAGAAGGAGATCTCCGCGAAGCGATCTTCCCACGGCGCGGCGTGGCGCGGCGCGGCGCGGCGCGGCACGGCGGCGATGGATGCGTCCGAGGTGCGCGGCCTTGCGCGGCCTCGCAAGGACAAGGCCGCCATTTTCGATGCAAGGGCGCGAACAATTATTATTACGCCGGTGTGTGCGTGCAAAATATATATAAATGAGCGCGAATGCGCCGAGCCCAGGGTGTGGCTCTCGACTGCGCTGAGGAAACAAAGCTTCCCGCGTGTAACCGCGCTCGCGGAGAGAGGCCCCCTACCTCCCGCCCCAAGATCAAGGGAAATCGCGCTGCCACGCTGATGCGAGGCGCGCGATTATGCACTTTTATGGGCCCGCAAGGTCGGCAGCGGGAATCGTAATCGGACGCGTTTGCTTTCGCGCGCTCGCACGCGGCTAGGGATTCCTAAGGCGAGTGTCCTTTGCGTTGTCACGTTCCGAAAGCAAAACGCCGCGCAGAGGAACTTAAATTCATAGTTCGTGTCCACTGAGCTTTCCTCCCAAACCGAGCACACGCCGTCGTTTATTCGTTCGTTTATTCGGGAGAGAAAGAGGGGGGGGAGAGTGAGAGAGAGAGAAAAGAGAGACAGGGGGAGACATGGAAAGACATGGAGAGACATGGAGAGACAGGGAGAGACAGGGAGAGACACGGAGAGATACGGAGAGACAAGGAGAGACAAGGGGAGACAGGGAGAGACACGGAGAGATACGGAGAGACAGGGAGAGAAAGGGAGAGACAGGGAGAGACCGGGGGGGTGGGGAGAGAGAAAGAATCGTTGAGGCCTGTGTCTACAATGCTAGAACTTGGTTCACGATGCTACAACTTGGTCCAAGTTCTAGCATCGTAGACACAAGCCTTTAGAATCGCTATTTATTGAATGCTCTGGGACTTACAATTGGTCCCCTAAACCGTAATGACAATGTAACGGATTATGACAATTTAACTTAACTAGGGAGGAAGGAGAGAGGCGTGAAAACGAAAGGACGACGTTCTTACTTTATATGCGATATATAAACGGTACATTACAACATTAACTCGCAAAAATCTTGGATCTAACTGTCTCTCGTCGGGAAAGAATAAAACGCGAGTTATTTGCAAAGTAAGATCCTGCTATTCAGAAATAATGATTGCACTTTCATTGAAGCGCGTCACAAAGGAGAGTCATCGGTCAAGCGACGCGTCAGCTTGACGGGCTATCGCGGAATTCCGGCGTGCGATATTGACTTTCTCGGGTCCGGTCGTGGAATCGCGATGCATCATCGTCATCGCATCTGCCGTCGCGCCGGGCTGCGCCGCGCCGCGCCGCGCGGCGAAGGTGCAATCGGCACTTAAGCGTGACACTAATGAGCGCCGGCGATGCAACCGGTCGTCTCCCAGGGGCTGTCTCGCTGTAATTGGTTAGTTAGCACATTTATTTTATATGAAACGCCCGCTGAAAAATGCGAAGCGCGTGCGTCCTAATTGGGAACGGCTCGGCGTGGCTCCGGCTCGGCCTGGCCTGGTCTGCCTCGGCTCGGCTCGGCCCGGCCCGGCTCAGCTTGGCGCGGCGCGGCGCGGCGCGGCGTGCCGATCGATGCGCGCGATATCGATTGTCGGATCGTTGACAGGCATGACCGAGTAACGCTGCCCTCGGAGAGGAGGCTGAACAGCCGAGTCACTTTCATGGCTAGGAAGAGCAAGGCATCCGCGAGCCCGCGGACAGCGCGTAATAAACCATTAGCAACTACCGCCCGATTGTATCTCTAATCTTAATCCGCGCGAATTTTCTGATGCGCGCGTTAGCTCGACGAAGTGGCCTTTATCGACCGTGGGACGCCGTGAGCCTCGGCCCAGCTAACGTTTAGCGCGCAATTATATCGATTTTGATCCCCGAGTTGAGTATCGTAAAGTACCAGGCGGGATGGCGCGGTGAATTTTTCGTCGCGCCCGTTAGCTTGATCATAGCCTGCCCCGACAGTCTCCCCTTAAAAATACGGCACCTCGTATCTTCGTTGATATAAATAATTTAGTCGTAAAGCTTGTAAATCGCGCGCGCGCGCACACATGCACACGCGCGGTGAATCGAACGTCGTAATTATCATTGTACGGATTGTTTCGATTCTCTCGCGGCGCGGGAATTCGTTTCCGCGACTGCGAGGTTCACGGGAATAAATATTCCCATTACAATCGCGCAGATTATCTTGATGCACCGCGCGACCCCGTTGGAGTCAACGGCTCTATGTTTCTTTTTTTTCTAATGCATTGCTAGGTTTATAATTAATCCCGCTAATAAAATACGCAATATAGCCGTCCCCGGCTATAATAATGTAGGGAGGCGTATGCGCAGGCACGCGCGCCGGCACCGGCCGATGGAATTTCATTCTGATATTTAATACCCCGAGCGCTCCGGTTTATTAGCGAGCATTGTATAATCATCTAATATCCGAGAGAGTTTCGATCGCGACGTCTCCATAAAGCTTGACTGCATTACCGATTTATCTTCCAACTTTCTGTCTAACAATAAGCTATTCTCATTCGGTGGGATCGGTCAAGGCTGGCGTAAGAAGCCGGCGGGAGAGAGAAAGAGAAGGAAATGCAGATTTTTTTTCTCTAAAGCGCAAACCCCAGCTGTACTGGGAATTTCATCCCTGCCGTCACGTTTATAGAGAATACCGTAGATTTAATTAGACCTTGCGCGAGGTCATATCGATTTCTCCTCTCAGATTACTCTGAAGAAAAAGCAGGGAAGAAAGGGAGTAATGGGACATTGGAAAAGAATGGTAGCCGCAAATGCGAACGCTTTAAAATCCCGCGCCAGCTGTCAATTTCGCTTTCGAGTTGCGAGATTCAGGTGCGATACTCAATCTCTCGCAGGTGCCTATTTAACAGAGACTTTACTTGAGAAAAGTATAACGAGCCGAAAAAGCAATTATTATTTACAAAATATATAACAATGAGGAAACATCTAAGAAACGTTACCTGCCTCTCCATATATAATATTACCGACTATTTGATTTCAACTTTTCGTAGCTTTCGTTTAGCAAAGCTTTTACCGCGAAGGGAATTCTTGAGGAGGTACTCGCGAGCTTCTGCGGCCGGGAGATCATTTCGCTTCTTTATATCTCTTGATATCGCGATGCATGCCGCACTCCCGCGTAACACACCGCATTCGAAGGCGATGCGCCAATCTTCGGCAAGTATTTAGACGAGTAATGCACGTGTAAATGAAGTTGAGTAAGCCAATGTAAGCAAGAGGTGGCAGGTGCTACGCAAGAGGTGCCCCTTTTTTCGCCGCACGTCTTCTGTTAGTAGCCGCAGAAGCCAAGCACTCTGCCGAGGCTGCCGTGAGGTCTTCCACGGTAGTGATGTGTACAACCAAGACACAGTTTGTACTTCTGATATTAGACACGGTAAAATCGAAATACTGAAGGCCTCGCGACTATCGAGTCCACGTTATTAAAGTAAATAGCATTTTTACTTTATTCTGTAGAACAACAATTGTGTGCGAATATCTAACCGATCATTGTTGATTTAGACTCGTATTCTGAACCCTCTTCGATCAATAAAAGCTCATCTAAAAGTGCCTAATAAGCCTTCTGATTGGCTGCAAGCCACTTTTAGAGGCGTTTTTATCGATAAAAGAGGATTCAGAATATTTAAACTTCTTTCGCGTATAATTCGATGGAACCCTAGTCAAAAAATTTCTATAAATAACTACAAAAAATTGACTTGAAATAGAAATTTGTAGAAATTTTGATATCTTCGTTGAAACATTATGTTTTTTGTAAAAATATCTACGAAATAATACAACAAATTACAATGTTCTCTAATCAAGAAATTATTTCAAGTAGTATTTCATGAAAATGTACAATTTTGTAGAAATTAGTACAAAACTTTACTAGTTTAAAAAAATTTGAGAAACAAAATCTTAAAGAATTGAAACATCTGCTTGTAGAATATTACAAAAATTAATAAAAGTGTTCCAATTCTAGCATTTTTTTGTTGATTTTGATAACACTTTTTTAATTTACATAGAATTCCTTAGATTCTGGCAGTATATTTTATTTTTTTTGTAGAAGTTTGTAGAATTATTTCCGGCAGGGAAGTCGCGTGACTGCGATATATTTAAATAAACGTTGACTGGTTCTTCTGCGTCAAATAAAAAGGCTACATTCGTCGGACATTCAGTCCTAATCCTAAGGCCTGTTACTACAATTAAACCGGTGAGTTTAGGAGTAAATGCGCGAAGACCCTCGGATACGTGAGCATTTCTTGATCCGCACGTTCGTAGCCATCGCTAGTCGCGAACCTTGCTTACCTGCAGATGTAATTGCAAGGTACTTGGATTTTTATCGTCGCCACCGCCACTTTAACCGAACGAACACTCCTCATCTTATTGTTGTCTGGTGTTCTCGCCTTTATGGCGAAAAAAAAGGAACGTATGGGAGGGACGGGGCACTTTTAAGAATTTCAAATGGGAATGGACAAAGGGCAGTATATGCCTGAGGTCACGCGTTTTTCATCGGCCCTACCGCCAATTGGCTGCCGCGCTACTGAAAACAATCTCAATTCCATCAAGGGATACGCACTTTCTCTCTTCCTTCTTTCCTCTCTATCTCTTTCACCCCTCGAGCAAATTACATCTCGGGTCGCCTCTTCGCGAGGTGAAAATGAAATGCGGAGAGGTATCGGTGCGAAATTTTTTTATTGTTGTCGCTGAAGGAAATATCCTCGAGAGGGGGGCAAAAAAATTCTGAAGACTACCCTGCAAATGTAATTTTCGACTTTTTCAATGACGCGGTCTCACCAGGAGATCTCACTAGGAGAAATGGCCTGGGAGCGGTCCAGATAATAGATGGCAATTTTTTTTTCCTCTTGCCTTCTTTAATATCCGGCGCATCATCGTCGCTTTATTAAAATCCGTTACGAACGAACGCGGCGTTAATGCGCAATTTAGGTGCACGGCAGTAACTTTTGTGTTTAATTTAACGGCTCGCGCCCGTGCGATCTCGCGTGTAAGTAAGTCGCATAAATAGTCGCGTAAAGGCGCAAGATAAAAAGACACTTACTTTCCCACATTTAACGCGCTAATATCTGCGAGGCGCGTGATGCGGCGATGGCCGCGCGGTAATAGAACGCACGATATATCGCGCCGCGCGGGAATTGAAATGAAAAGTGCAAATACACGCTACGAAACGCCACGCTTCCCGAGAGACTTATCACTCGCAGACGCGCTCGCGGTCGGGGCGTAACGCGCGCGGACAGCACCCACTCGCGCGAAACGGCCGCGAAACTGTGCGCGAGGCTCTATGCAAATGCAGGGGGCAAACGGTACCGCGCGAGCTAGCGCGCAATCGCAATCGGAGATAAGGCAAGGCGGTAGCGCGAAGCGTTATCGTGCGAGCGCGTCGCACGTAAAACGGGTCACCCTAGTAAGAGCACCGTATAACCAGTACCTATGCTCGCTCTCCGTCGGCCCTTTCATCTTTTCGGTCCCGATCGCGTGGTATCCCGCCACGTATTTGGTCCAAATCCAGTGGCGCATGCGTGTGTACAGTGACGGACAGAATGGTCGCGACACTTTCTTCTTTAGTGAGTTTAGAAACGCGCATAAAATATGTCAAGAAATTACAGATAGTATTTAATAACGCCAGTAGTTAAGAGCCAATGATATCCAATTTTAACGACCTACACAAGCCAATGTTTTTTTTTTAAACAAAACACTTTACAACGTTTCGGTCCTAGATTTGGACCCTTACCAAGTAATCTGTTACAAGATTGTTAAAGATCACATTTTAATTGTTTGGCCAATACCATTATGACAGTAAAATATTAGTCAAAAATAGAAAATATCAAAATTGCAATCTGGTTGGGGAGTGCAAAGTCCATTGAAATTGCATCGTTATTCGTTAAATATGTATAAGAGTGACGAGAGAACTGTGTTGGACGAGAGATCAAGTTGAACTGATTATGACAGTAAGATACATATTAGTCAAAAATAAAAAATATAAAAATTGCACTCTGGTTGGGGAATGCAAAGTCCATTGAAATTGCATCGCTATTCGTTAAATATGTACAAGAGTAGAGAACTGTGTTGGACAAGAGATCAAGTTGAACTGGTCCAAATCTGGGACAGAAACGTTGCAACGTGTTTTGTTTTTTTAAACGAAAACATTGGCCAGTGTAGGTCGTTAAAATTGGATATCATGTGTCAAGAAAGTTACAAATCCGTAAGCTCTTACTGTACTTATGATAACCTTTATCTTTCATCCAAACTGTAACGGCGACAAATGAAAGACGACGGTACTCTATGTTGTCGACAAGTTTTCGAATACATATCAAAATACTTACACAAGCCGAAAGATTTTACAGCTGTCTAGATAAGAAATTAATATGACAGATATATATGTGAAAAAATGTAGATCGCAATATTTTATTTTATAACTCACAATGCGTGGCCGTAGCAGAGAACTACATCAGGAACGAAAAGCTTAATCGCAAAGGTGTATGATAAAGATTTGAAACGTGATTGTCATTGTCATTCAAATTTCGCCGTATCTGTGAAGAGGTTGTGGGGGCGGGGAGGGGCATCCGTGAAATTGAATTTCACATACGACGAACAATGGTAGCAGGCGGCCTCGTCGTCGGTTTAAATCACACAGGTGACTTCCTGCAGTCACTCGGCCGGCCGTCGCATTAAGAAGAGGGATGACATTTGAATGCGCGGTGTCGCGCGGCACTTAAAAATTAGCATTATAAATAAGATTATGGAAACACGCGCGCCGTCGCGGACACGCCAATTCTGGCGGCGAGGCCGTCTTAGCAGCACTTTGTCTCGCGCTTATTAACATTCGTTCGTCAACCGTTCGGTCGCGTTACTCGCCGTGGATCAATTATGCATTCCATTTCGCGTCCTCGCAGCCTGCGAGGGGCTCGCGCAGGAATTAAATTGCGTCGTCGGCGAATGGACAAAAGGAGAGCGACGAAGAAAGGGACTAAAACCCCCGAGGAGATTAAAACCTTCGGGAGGCCCCCTTGGGATAATCTCATTCTACAACAATGTTTTTTTTTTTTGGCACGTTATCTTATGCTCCTACATTATATAACACCGTACGCTCCCTTTAACACCACAAAAACCTAAAAAAAATTCTAAATTCCCCATTCCGAAACTGTAAATAGATTTATCGTCTGTTTGAAGCAACAAAGTTTATCCATGGACGAGAAGAACGCGGAGTGTGGGCCCATGTTATCCTGTTCTCGGAACGAGTCGCAGACCGGATTCGCTTATCGAAAAGTCGTTTCAACGGCGTCCGAACGACTTTTAAATTAGGCGGCCTGTTCGCCGCGCGAAACGACGTCCGGCGTGCCCGCTTCGATATTTAGCTCGCGTAATTAACGCGGTGCACGAGTTAAGAATATCAACGAGCGGCTTTGTATTCGCCCCTCGATAATCTAACGTGATCGCCGCGCCGCGTTATGGGAGTAGCGATAACGGTGCCAGCACTCACGGGGCACTCGCGGTTGTCTCATCATCGCGAAGAAGGATGCTCTTCGGACACGCGATCAAGCATCTCATTGTCATCGTTCAACCGTAGCGAGCAGCTTCTTTCAGGCTGCTGCGAGGCGAGGCCCGCATTCGAGGACGGCATTATGAGACGCGGCCGCGTGAGCGCATCCCGCATTCTGCGTGGAGGTTTTGCTGTCGGGTAAATCCGCGCCTTCCGCTTTGATTCGGCCTCATAAAGAGATTTCGTTCGAGCCCGCAGTGGCGGCCATTAAACGCGACACTGTACCGAACTAGCGGCGCGACAAAACGCATTCGAGGACGGGCATTATGAAGACGCGGCCGCGTGAGCGCATCCCGCATTCTGCGTCGAGATTTTGCTGTCGGATAAATCAGCGTCTTCCGCTTTAATTCGGCTTCATAAAGAGATTTCGTTCAATGCTTAGCTTGAACGAAATCTCATAAGCTAAACACTGAAAAAGTTATAAATTTTCTCTGGAATATATCGTCGGAAATTTTTATTGTACTTTTGCCAATTTAGCATTAAATTTAGCATTAAAGTGGGTCCTTTTAAGTAGGAGCTAAAGTAAAATTTTAGAATTAAAGATTCAAGGGAGGAGTAAAAAAATATAATGTCATCAAAGTAGGTTATTGCTGATCTATGTAGGTATATAGATCAGATAAGTAGGTGTAAATTATCCTTAAAAGTGTCAAAATATATACCAAAATTTCGACTCGGGATTGTGTCGAATTAGCGGCGCGACAAAACGTCATTAATGCCTATCCAACTGAAGTTGCACGTGGATCGAGGCATTTTTAAAAGCGTGCAACTTTCCAACACCTGGTGCATCACGACTATGGAAACAGCGAATCAGCATTGCCGGTTTCACTGTCAAAATGGTGTTGTTACATTTATCGTACGACACATTTATTTAAGCGCGTTGATTGGCTACAAGCTGAAAAATTTCGAGATGCTCGAGAACTTTTCCATCCTGCAGTCAACCAACACGCTTGAGACATTTGTCGTACGACAAATGTAATACCAGCCTAAGGGCCTATACCCTTAAGACAGCCTTAAGACAATTTAAGCCTTTGCTTGAGGTAACGCACAATAACTGTCTTACGTCTTAAGAGTACAAGACAGCTATTCTGCTCAGACCCTAAGCCTAATATTAAATTTGTCGTACAACAAGTGTAAAGCGTCTACAATGGCAGTAGGAGTAGTAGATTAAGGCTGTAAGACGTCGGAGTAAGCTCGTGTTTCCGGTGTAGTAGACGTAGAGTAAAGCTGTAAGCAAAATGGTTCAATTCCATTCCGTACGACCTACTCCCTTACTCTCAGCCACTGATAATCAGTTCACGAAATAGGTTAAAGTTGAAACCCTGATCTCGTTTGCGCCTGTTCACAGGCCGAACCCACCACCTCCGACCGATAGATCTTTTCGTTTGCATAATACGCCATTGAAGAGTCAAGAGCTGACTCCATAATAATATAAATAACACAAATCCAATTCTGCGCACATCCATATTCACCAACAACGGTAACATTTGTGTAATAACATTGGTTAACACTGATTGGCTCATTATAATCCTTACTCTACGCCATTGTAGACACTCGGGCGTAAAGGGACCTTAATCCTACAGCCTATGTCTAACGCCTACTTCTTTAATCCACTACTCCTACTGCCATTGTAGACCACGCTTAATACTAGCCTAATGCACGAAGAGAGTTAGAAAGTCGCACGCTTTTCAAACGTATCTCGAGCCACGTGCAACTTCAGATGAGTAGGCATTAATGACGCCGTGCGCACCCCCCGCGATAATCCCCCGCGCGATGGTCCCCGTTGTTATGCAGGATTCGCACTGGATAGTCAACGTACGACGTCCGATATCCAATACGATTCGTTTATACCTTTAGATCCAACGAAGAACCAAAAGTAAGAACCAATCATATTAGATGTCGGACATCGTACGTCGGATATCGGACCCAGTGTGAATCCTGCATTACGATACGCTCCGTATACGTCCGTCCGGCGCGGCGCGCGATATTAAAAACAAGTTCCTGGAAAGTGCATGCGCCACGTTGCACCGCCTATGAATGTTGCATGGCGTTCGCGGTGTGTAAATATGTTACACCCTCGTTGCTACTTGCGTTCGCCATCTTGAATTATGCATTTAACCCGTCCTCGCTATCCGCGCATAAATCCCCGCCGCCTCCATCGCCGCCGCGCGCGGCGCGGCGACTTCGACACCGGGCGCTTCTCCCGGCGCGGTATACGTTGTTGCAAAATGATTTATCGCACGGTGTGCGCCCGGCGTTCCACATAATATCTGTAAAAGTGCCATGAAATATCGCGAGTGGCCCGCGCAAAAAGGCCACTCGCCTCTTTCAGCGTCGTCATTTTTTCGCGCCGCACCGCACCGCCGCAGACCGGTCTGGCACAGACCCCGAGATCCTCCTCTGGATCCCGCGAGAACGCACGTCCTCCGTGCCGGAGAGTTAATATTTACGCGATAGTTAATCGCGCAATTTAGCCTTCGCCCGACCCTCGAGTATATTTCAAGCCGGATCAATTAATTCAAAAGCTGTTTCTTAAAAGCATCAATCCGCTGGGGCTCACGCTGTTCCTGGCACTTAAATCGCCAACCGGAAATAAATGGTTGCAGAACTTTGCTAAAATCGAGCATTCAGTTTGGGAGCTTCAGACAGTAATGCTTTTGTCAAAGACACCGATTACGACGACATGCTCTTACAACACCTAAGAGAAACGTTAACGCGTAAATAACAATCGTCTCGCGCAATTCGTAAAGTGAGAAACAGTCACATTTTTCTCGACAACGTCATACCAATGTAACCCGTTTTGCCGACTGACCCAGATAACCAACGCCGAAAAACGTGCCCGTCGACTTAATTACTCTTCCTTGTTTTTTTTTTCGTCACGTGCAAGGGATCGCTCCTAATTTGGATCGGGTTATGCGCGCAGGTAGTGAGTGATGCGCCGGCAAAAAATCAGATAATGAGTTTCGACTTCTTACGATTTTTGCCGTTTATTTCGCGCCAGATTCGAGCACAAACGCGCTAATCGTGATGAACGAATTTTCCCATCGAGATATATTTCTATAGCGCAATTATTGCATTCTTTTGCTATCCGCTCTAGCATAGATTAAAGCCAACGAGACCATTTATCCTGTTAGATTGCTTGCGAGAGCCAGTAAGGATACGTCTTAGATCAGGTAATTCAACGCTAAAGCCAACGGCACACGATACTATTTTTCTTACTGGATTGCTTACGAGAGTCAATCAGAATTTTGCCTTAAGTCATCTGATCTAAAACTCTTATTGGTTCATGTAAGATTGTAAGCAATCCAGCAGGAAAAATAGTATCGTATGCCGTTGACTTAAGGCGAAAAGTACTCTACCGTTTTACAATTTTCGCAATAGTTAACGAGTTATTAAAAAATCCCTGTCTTAAGCCTTGTGTCCACGATCCAAGAACTGTGTCCAAGTTC